GAGTTTAGTGACTGTTGCCATTTCGGTGCTTTACTTCAATTTTGAAATTTGAGAAAATGTGTCAAAAATGCCTACTTTTTTCGACTTCTACGTCGTTTTTTTTTTTGTTTTTAAAGTTTGTTTTTATTTAATTTTTACACTGAAAAACATTAGATTACGTTTATCTGTTTTTACGTTCTTAGGTTTACGTCCAATAATTTTTTCAGTTACGTTTTACGTTCTTGTATTCTTACGTTTCTACGTCTTCTTTTCTGATTTTAACGTTTTTGGTTTACATTTAAATTTTTATACAGATAAATATTTCATTAACTAAATGTTAAACCCCCAAATTTTTCCATGTGTTTTTTTTCGATTAAAAGAATTTTTACGTTTACGTTCTTACATTTTGACGGTTAAGTTAATTGTTAAATTTTTACTTTAAATTCCTTAATTTTTACATATTTACGTTTAAGTTCTCGTGTTTTACTTTTGCATTTCTATTTACTTCAAGTTTTTTTACGTTTACGTCAAAATAAGCAAAGATAAAACATTTATTTTATTTTATTTCTTGTATTTTTGATTTCTTACGTTTACTTTCTTACTTTTACGTTTGTTTTTTAATTACATATAAACTAGAATTCTGTCCTATTCGAAAATATTCGAAAGTATAAAACTCAGACTATCAGATTTTCTCGAAATTTATAGGGGGCTTGCGGCTTTGCCGCTCGCCCCTTCTAGACCTCACACTATTTATGTTTTGATTTAAATTAAATTGTTTTATTCGTATGTTTACGTTTTAAGTTGTGTTCAATTTTTGAATTTTTATTTTTTGTTTTTTATTTAAAAAAATTTTATTTTGTGTCGACAACCAGTAATACGACCTTCAAAAATGTTTAATTTTGAAATATTTTTTAATATTACGTTGTTTTAAAATTTTAAATTGTTGTAATTGTGACTAAGTTTCTGTTCAAACAAGCACTTAAAAAAAGATGCTAATGAAAAACGGTAATAACATTGGGTTTGCAGGCAACCAGTAATACACCTCGGACATGTTTGTTACTTTCACAAAAAGGCACAAACTTTTATAATACGATTTTAAAAGAAATGAAATTATGATTTAAATCAGTTTGTTATCTATAAATTGAAAAATTAAAATTTTAGACTTAAAAGTGAGAAAATTTCAAAATTTATAGGCAACTAGTAATACAAGTAGCAAATACAATTTTGTTTCTGTAGTCATTGATTTTTATTCGCCTGTTTGTCTATTTGCCTGTTTGTCTAATTGTCTTTTGTTTATGCTTCATAATAATCGGATAAAGGATAACAAAAATATTTCGAAAAAAACATTTTTTCTGCCGATTTTTAGAAAGCTGTAATTTTTTAATTTCTTGAAGTAGGTCAGTAAATACAGTGCTATTTATTCTCATTTGTAGTGGGGTATTCGTAATTAAATATTTTTGAAACATCCGATAAGAGAATATTTAATGTTTAGGCAACTAGTAATACACTTCAATTTTACGTTTTAACTTGTAATATTTGTATTTTACGTTTTAAAATTTTTTGGTTCACATTATTATGTGATTTCAGTCTCAACAAACAATTAAAAAGATAAGTTATTTAAAAACACAATTAAAAACTGGGTTTGTGGGCAACTAGTAATACGTTATTGACATGTTGGTTGCCCGGATAACAATTTAAAAATTATTTAATTTCCGAAATTATCCAAACTTTATAATTGTGCAGGGGTGTGGGTGTTTGAAATAGAAGCCCTTTTATAATTTACTTATAAAATGTTCTTATTTTAAATAAAAAATAACCCCGCCACACATTTTTTAAACATCCGATAAGAAAATTTAATGTGTAGGCAACCAGTAATAATAGAATTTTACGTTTTAACTTTAATATTTGCATTTTAAAAGTTTTAGGTTTACATTATTACGCGATTTCAGTCACAACAAACAATTAAAAAATAAGTTATTTAAAAACTGGGTTTGTGGGCAACCAGTAATACGCCCGGGACATGTTGGTTGCGCGGACAACAATTTATTTAAATTATTTAATTTCCGGAACTGATGTGAGGGTGTTTGAAATAAAAGCTTTTTTATAATTTACTTATGAAATGTTCTTATTTTAAATAAAAAATAACCCCAACAGCTACTCTCAACTGTTAAGTGTCACTACAATTCCTTTACAGATAAAAAAAACTTACAATTTTATATGAAAATATTGTATAATATTCAAGTATCACACTTTACAAAATCAATTTCAGCCTCAACAAACAATTAAAAAGATAAGTTATTTAAAAACACAATTAAAAACTGAGTTTGCGGGCAACCAGTAATACGCCAAGGACATGTTGGTTGCCCGGATAACAATTTAAAAGTTATTTCCCGAAATTTTCCAAAACTGATAATTGTGCAGGGGTGTAGGGTTTTGAAATAAAATCCGTTTTATAATTTACTTATGAAATGTTTTTATTTTACATAAAAAATAACCCCGCCACACATTTTTGAAACATCCGATAAAATAGTATTTAATGTGTGGGCAACCAGTAATACACTAGAATTTAACGTTTTAACTTTAATACTTGTATTTTACGTTTCAAAATTACGTGATTTCAGTCACAACAAACAATCAAAAAAGTAAGGTGTTAAAAAACACAATTAAAAACTGGGTTTGTGGGCAACCAGTAATACGCCAGGGATATATTGGTTGCCTGAACAACAATTTAAAACTTATTTAATTTCCGAAATTATCCAAAACTGATAATTGTGTGCAGAAGTGTGGGCGTTTGAAATAAAAGCCTCTTATAATATTCTTATTTTAAATAAAAAATAATTTTTAATGTATAGGCAACTAGTAATACACTGGAATTTCAGGTTTTAACTTTAATATTTGTATTTCACGTCTTAAAATTTTTAGCTTTATATTATTACGTAATTTCAGTCACAACAAACATTAAAAAGAAAAGGTATTAAAAAAACACAATTAAAAACTGGGTTTGTTGGCAACCAGTAATACGCCAGGCACATGTTGGTTGCCCGAAAAACAATTTAAAAATTAATTGATTCCCAAAATTTTCCAAAACTGGTAATTGTGCAGAGGTTGAAATAAAAGCCCTTTTATAATTTACTTATGAAATGTTCTTATTTTAAATAAAAAATAACCCCAACAGCTACTCTCAACTGCTAAGTGTCACTACAATTCCCTTACAGATAAAAAAACTTACAATTTTATAGGAAAATATTGTATAATACTCAAGTGTCACACTTTACAAAATCAATAAAATTACGAATGATGTTTTTATTTATCTGTTTTTAGTACAAAGATTCGGTGGCGTTAGTGGAACGTGGTTTCTTGATTTTATCGAGATTTTTAATAACAATGTCATGTAGGGCGCAATACCGATTCCTAATCTCGCACATGACCAACCACAAACTCAAATACTCCTTCTCGTCCAACTCCTGGACGGCCCTTCTGTAGTCCTCTATGTGGGGGTACTTGGCCACTTTGGAGATGACCTTGGCTCTCGAGATGAAATACCTCGAGATTTGGTCGAAAAACGCCGCCGCCTCCGACTCCACCGACTGCACCTCGGCGAGGGTGTCCTCCTGGATGGAGACCCCGAAGTTGTTCCCGTCCTCGATCTTGGGGATCATGAACGAAATCCACATTTTCATCTGGAAACACACTTGAGTGGGGTTCACTCGCGTTTGGGGCTCACCGTGTTGGAGTCCTCGACGAGCTTCCGGATGTGGGGCTTCACCAACTCCACCAGCTCCACCAGATGCTTGTTGGTGGGGACGGCGCCACTGGGCAGCACCATGACCTTGGTCCCATCCTGGGGGAGGCTGTTGTCGAATTTGGCCCTCTTGGCGGGGGGCAAGTCGGTGTGGCTGTTGAGCAAAATGGGGTCTGGCACCGGGATGTTCAACTCCTGGTGCACGTCGGTGAATTTCCGGTTTTTGAACTGGGGGGTTTCCAGCAAAGCGTTGAGTTTGACTATGGTCGCGGGGAACCCCTTGAGGAGCAACTCTTCGGCTTCTTTCTTCAAACTGTCTTTGTATTCCAATACCTGCAACAGGAAAGTGTCAGGGGGGCCCACCGCGTGCTCAGCCGACGACTCCTCCACGGAAGTGGTGCTCATTACTGCGAATTTTGACAAAACTGTCACGAAAACGTGCGGATTTGAATCGGCTTGATTTTCATGGGGGTTCACACTTACCACACTTACCTTTTTTGCATCTGCCATAATATTCAATATTTGTAATATTCACTTGAGTCGACTTAACCTAAATGTTTTGGGTGCAATGGCAAAGAAAGGTGGCTAACGCAAGGACACGATCACAAATTCCCCAACTCAATTATCAATTCTACGAAATTAAATTAGAATATCATCGGCTTGTTGCAATTTCACGTAATTTAATCCAAAAACTGGTCGAGTTTAGTTTTTTAAGTGAGTAACAATTTTTTTAGCACATAGCCCAATTTAAGTTGGTAATAATTTGGTGACTAACCCGGACGCGCAATATTCAAAAAAAATTGACGTTTTTGTCATCGATTTTACAATTTTTTTAAATCAGAGAACAACAATGTCGGATTTTGATGAAAAACACTCCACTCGCGTCATAAGAAAGATCATCAATTCGGCAATTTACGTGGAAAAGCCGCTGTCGGGGGCCGTTTCGAGTGAAAACACCTCAATTGCGGGGAAGTCCTCAAATGAGGATTTTCTGGAACCGAAGACGAAACGTTGTACTTGTTCAGTTGATCAGAAAACGTGTCCGTTTCATGCCAGTTGTTTTATTTTTTTCCCCAAAGAAACAAGAAAAGTGGCAATGAAAGTGTCCGAAAGTAGGACGAAAGTGTCCCAAAACGCAAAAATCCCCACTGAGAAAGAAACCCTAATCAAAAATTGGAAATCCAAGAAGGACGAAGAGAGAAAGAAGAAGGATCAGAAGCAGAAAATCCTCGACGAGGCCAAAATGAGAGAGAAAGAGAAGTTGCTCGAGCAAGAGAGACACAACTTTAAGAAATGGTTGATGAACAAGAAGAAATTGGAGGAGGAGGCAAAACGGAAGAAAGAGAAAGAAGAGGAGGAAAAGCAATTGAAGGAGTTGGAGAAGGAGAAACGACAGTTGGAAAACCAACTAAATTTTCAGCTCTGGTTGAAAAAAAAAGAAGAGAATTTGGAAAAGAAAATCAAGGAACAGATGAAACTGATAAATGAGTTGGAACGGAAAGAAACACAGTTGAGGGAGAATGAAAAAGCGTTCAATGAATGGTTGAAAAACTCCAAACATCGACAAAAACCACTCCCTTTGAATAAAGGACTTGAATGTGATTATTTTCTCGGTTTTGGACACGTTTTAATAAAATTTTCTTTCAGCTTTATGTTCGTCAACTTCAGTCACTTATATCAACCCAAATCCTTGGAATCCCAACCCTTAGAATACAATAAAGTTTGTCACACTAGATTTTATTTCTCTTGTAACACTCAAAATTACTTAAAAAAATATTTGTGATTGTTGAATTGTTGACCAGATGGACTAATCCAAGAATGTTTCTTCTTCTTTTTGCAACTTCAAAATATCCGACTTAATATCCCAAAAATTATACATCGTAGAGTATTTTAACTTGTTGCATCGTATTCAGCAGGTGATTTTACGCCTAGAAAACCCTATTTTTAGCGTTTTTACTACTTAGGTAAATTTTTACGATTTTACTACCGCTCACTTTCAAAAACTTAAAAAATTCGTAATTTTTTAAACTTGGCCCAATAACGTTTTATGCATTTATTTGAGTCCTTAAGACCTCTAGAAATGTAAAAAACGTAATATAGATCAATTTTAAAGATAATTTTTTTTTTGATTTTTGTCGAGATTTTGGTCGATTTTTGGCACCCCGAGCGGTTTAATGGCAATAACTCCGGACTTATTAGTGATATCCTCTTATATTTGGTACCGTTYGATAGAAAATTAAATTTTCTATCATATACTAAAAATTTCAGTGCTCTACGATGAATAGTTATCGAGAAAATTTCTGATAAAGTCAAAAATATCGAGAATTTAAATCCGACTATAACTTSAAAACTACTACGAATTTTGCAGTTTAATTAACGCCAATCGATTCCCCGGAACATTTTACATAGGTATAGGTCAAAATATTATGTCATTGTGACACAGTTTTGCCCCAATTTACAAAATAAAAAAAAGTAAAAATTTGTCAACACCCCCCCCTTAAAATCTAGTGTTTTTAAACATGTCTCAGATTCAATTTAAACCTATCTTATCCGATAGATTTTGACGCGCTAATTACGAATTTACCAACCACATTGGGCTATCTCCTTTAGTTTCGCCGTAATCGGCGTAAAAAATTCAATTTTTTTTGCGAGATATCGACTTGGCTTTGGCCTCAGTCGATAGATTTTCTTACGCTAATTACGATGGAGTTGGACTGATTGCTCTAAGTCTAATAGTTTGGCCGTAATCGCCGTTCAAAAAGTGAAAATTTTCAAAATTGCGAAACTTTAAACGTGTTTTTCTACGAAACTATAGAACTTAGAGCAAATAGCTAAAAACCATTAAAATTAGCTTAAAATTATCTATTTACTGACGCAAACCGGAAGTCGCTCCGGGTTATGGRTCCGGGTACAGAGCCATTTTTAGTTTTTTCAAAAAAAATTCATATCTCAAAAACTATGAGTCTTAGGTCAACAGGGTTTGTACAGGCGTGTTCTCCGGTTAATTTTACATATAGTACTAGTTTTTCATAAGAATCAAAAAATGTTGATTTTTGGTCAAAATCGAATATAGTGCTTTTACTTTTAGCCTTATTCTTAACTTTATTACTCAATATCTCAAAAACTAAGCATCGTAGAGTATTTTAACTTGTTGCATCGTGTTCAGCGAGTAATTTTACGTCTAGAAAACCATATTTCAACTGTTTTTACGACTTAAGGTAAATTGACTATTTTTACGATATCGCTCACCTTGAAAAACTCAAAAAATTCAAAATTTTTGAAACTTGATCCAATGTCGTTATATGCACTTTTTTGAGTCTTTAAGACCTCTAGAAATGTAAAAAACGTTAAATGGATCAATTTTAAATTTGATTTTTTTTAATTTTTGTCGAGATTTTGGCCTATTGCTAATAACTCCGAAATTTTTGGCGGTAGTCTTTTGTGTTTTGGTCCGTTAGAACGCAAATTTAATTCTCCCACCCCTTGAAATAAAACAAAGTTTGTCACACTAGACTTTATTTCTCTTGTAACACTCAAAATTACTTAAAAAAATATTTGTGATTGTTGAAGCCTAAACCTAGATTAGATAAAGGTGTATAAAAATATAAAGTGACTAGATGGACTAATCCTAGAAAGTTTCTTCTTCTTCTTGCAACCTCAAAATATCCGACTTGTTCAAAAAATAATAAGTCGGTTGTCTCCCTTTGAGATCCTTGACGATCCTTTTACTCCCAGCTTTGATCAAAACCCGACTTATAGTCTCCATTTTTTCCACACCCATGGCGTAGTGAAGCGCAGTTCTCTCCAACTAATTTTTTAATGAGAAACTTTACCAAACCAAAACTTACATTATCGCCGAGTTTGAGAGTATCAGGGAACGTGTTGGCCAAATAATCGGCGATTTCCTCCTGTTGGCAAAGCACAGCAATGTGAAGGGAACATCTCCCATAACTATTCTTGCCAATGGCCAAAAGTTTGCCACTTCCGGTCTCATTTTCATCAGCTAGAAGCGCCGTCACGTCATTTATCGACCCCAAACGGATTGCATGATGGACCCTCTCGCGTTTTTCCTAAAAAAATCTACTGTGAACATCACACGACTTTCCTTATCCGACTTATTTGGAAAATAACCTTGCATTTTGCGGCTTATAGAAATAATTTTTTGATTAATTATTACTCAAATTAATCGAATATTCAAATTATATTTTTTCTTCCAAATTATTGATTAATTACCTGCTTAAATTAATAAAACTGAGGTATCATTGTAATATTACAAAATATCAAATAAAAAAAATCATAAACTAACGATTTTATGAAAAAAAAACGCAAAACTGGGTGACTGTGACTCAATTTAAATTTTAGTTTGGCAACCTTGCCAAACTACCAATTCAGTGTTACCAATAAATTTTTTGTCATAAACATTACCTAATAGTCAGTTTTATACCTGCTAAAAGGAAAAATATTCTTATTTTTTTTAAATTAAATGATAAGAAGAAAGATACTAATACTCAAATTATAATAAATT